TTCCACCGTCGCTGCGTACTTGACGTTGGCGTGCCCCTCCCAGAGTTGAAGCACCGCGGGGCTGCATTCGACGATGAGCCGATTGAGGCAGACGTCGCGTTTCCCGTACATGGCCCGGCCAGATCGGCAATTCGGGCAGTGGGCGCCGCATGGTCGCCGCCGGCGGTGGGGGTAGCCGCGCGCGTCGAAGACCGCGTCGTCCGAAAACGGCCAGGGGCATCCTTTCACGCAGTCTTGAGCGGGGTCTTGAGGGTGGCAAGAATGGTTGCAGCCGTGGACCATGTGGCGAAGGACGAGTTCGCGGAGTCGTCCGTCTTCGCGGGGTAGCTCACAGGAGATGAGAAGGTCGACCTCGTCCGGAGTGGCGGGCGGGTCGAGGACAGCCAGAGCGATGTGCGCATGTGGAAGGCCGCGGAGCTGGTACTCGATCACTTTGATGAGGTAACGGCGAGCCCCGCAGAAAGAATCCTTCAAGAAAGCGACGATCTTCTGCAGCCGGTCGTGAAAGACGCGGACGACGATGTCGGGTCTGTCGGCGGCGGTTTGTCCGCGGTGCAGTTGACCCACAATCTCTGGCCAGTAGGGGTTGCAAGTCAACGTGATGAAGAACGACGGCGGGCCTTTGCGTCGCGCCAGGTCCAGGGCGTCAACGCGCAGTCGGCGAAGATGGCGAGGTGATCCTGGGACGCTCGATGGCAGAACGTACTGTTTGCCAACCGTTCCGGCCTTGGCGGGGTCGTTGGCGAGCACCTCGCAGAGCTCCTGGCGAGTGGCGCTACGCTGTCGTTGTTGATGACGGATGTGGGAGAACCTCTCGTCTTCCATGCGCGTGAACATGTTGATGGGCCACTCGTTGAGCAGCCGTCCGCAAAGGTGCATGTGGGGGAGTCGGAGCAATTGTTGGCGATACCACCACATCTGTGTTACCTTGTGGCCGGTGGCGCTGATGACGTCTGTACTCCAGCCGCGGCCGCCGAACGGGTACCACAGGGGGTAACTCAAGGGTTCGTAAAACGGGCTCAGCGGGTGCAAGTAGGACGGCGTGTCGTGGCGCTTGTATGTGAAGACGATGGACCTTTTGTTGCGGTCAGGGGTGGGGTCGACGTCCAGTATTCCAGCCACTTCGTTGACTCCCTCGTGCCACTCCAAGATGATATTCGCGTCTGCTGCTTGTTTGGACTGGCGGGCCAAACGCTGAATCATACGCATGTGGGCATTTCTCGGCACTATGAGCTGTTCGAGTTGTTTGGTGGTCTGCTTGTTGAGGCCGTGCGCCGCGGCGGTGACGAAGCGGTCTTGCGGATCGTGCACCAGGTATCGCAGAGGGACCTGGTCTGCCATAGAGAATACGCGTCGGTAAATCGTCCCATGGATACGGATGTTTGCTGGCCGGCGGGCGTCTCCGAATCGAAGCTCTTTGTCTCCAGTGCTGCACTGGATTTCGTGTTGTGCGAGGGCGAAGAGGCTGTTATACCGCCTGGACTGCGCCGTGAAGCCAGTGTACCGAAGCTCGTTGGTGGTGGTGTCGTACATCTTGTCTCCGCGGTCGTCTGTGAGCGGCCAATGGGAGGCGAAGATGTCGCAGAGGGGTTTGTCGGGGCATTGGAAATAGGTGTCAAAGTTGACGAAGTACTTCCCGGCAATACAACAGAACGTTTTGGACTCCGAACTGAACAAAAGTGCGCCGCAGTGGTCGCATTGGGTGGACATGTCCCCCAAAGAAATGGAGGCGAGGGTCGACGGTGGGCGGCCGCCGTCGGGGGCGGGCGCGGCACAGTTGAAGCAAACTGGGCCAACCCGCTTCGGGGCCCGCTGTGGAAACATGTCGGTGGGCCAGCAGACGCCGCACCTGGAGCAGACGATGTCGGTATGCTGTCTAAGTGCCCCGCTACGCTGAAGCGCGGCTCTTGTGCAGGTCAAACATTTGCGGGTACTTCGTCGCCACTGGTCCGGCGCGTACTCAGCCTGCGCGAGCCCTGTCCCGCAGCTGGCGCAGGGTCGTAGAAGTACAGGGGCATTAGCGGTGGAGCAGCACTCCTTGCATCGGGCTGTCCGAGATGAAGAGTGCAACTGCGTGGCGGAAAAGGCAGACGTGTCCAAGCATCGAGGGCATTGCGTGCAAGTCATGGTTGAGCGCTTCGGTGGCATTTGACGGCCGTCACGCGATAAGGCTTGAGCCTGCAGCAGCGGCCGGCATGGCAGGAGGGACCATGGAGAGTGCGGGGGAGCGGTGTGGGGAGGTGGGAGGGAATGGGCAGGGGTGGTAAGAAGGGAAAGAGGAGAGCCGGTAGGCTCTGAAGACGGTCTCGGAAGGATACGGACCACCATGTGAATATGAAGGCTAGTTGAACATGTTGGGGCGCTTGTGGTATTTTGGAGGTGGAAGTCCGTTTGGGATTCGCGGTGCGAGGTAGCGTTCGGGAGAGGCGGTTAGGAAGAGCAGGAAGAGAGCTGGTAGGCTTTTGTGGGAGATCGGGGGTGGTTCGGAGTGGCACTGGGGCCTCTTGCAATATGTAGGGGGGCTTTGGGGGCCTTTACGGGGCTTCGGGGCGTTCCAGGGGACCTCTTGGGGCCTCTTGGGAGCCTTTTGGGGGCCTCTTGGGGGCTTTGGGGGGTGTTTTCAGAGCCTTCTGGAATCCTTGCAGGTGTTCTTGGGTGCCTTTGGGGGCCTTTTGGGGCCTGTTGGAGACCTTTTGGGCCTCTCTGGGGGCTGCTTGGATGCCGTATTGAGGCCGCGGAGGCTGATGGGAGGCGATCAAGGTAGAAGGCGGCAATTATCAATTTCCTATAGGTTTTTGATCGATCTCAGCCTCTCGGGGGGCTGTTCGGGGGGCGCTTGAAGCCCTTGTGGGCCCGTTGGCTGCCTATGGGGCCGTCTTGAGGTTATCTTGAGCCGTCTTGGAGCGTTTTTGGGCCGTCTCGGCAATTGCTCGAAGCCATCAAGGGGGTCTGGGGGGCAGAAGCCGAGGTCCGGGAGGCCCCCGTGGCGGTCCAGGAGGCTCCAGTGGGCCGCCAAATCCTATTGGGGGGGGGGGGGGACCCTTCGGTGTCAGTTTCCTGGTGTGAGATTATTAAGATAGGAATATATATATATATATATATATATATATATATGTATATAGATATCCTCCTCCTCTTCCTCCTCCTCCTCCTCGAACTCCTCCACCTCTTCCTCCTCCTTCTCCTCCTCCTTTCTGGCACGATTCTGGATCGTCAAGACGCAGCAGTCAGGTTGACACGTGGCGTTGGGATCCCGAGAACTATGTTTTGGCACGCTTCAGGATCTCCAAACTGTTGTCTTCCGTCGAGGCAGTTCCCTTAATGGAATTGAACAGTAGTGGGGGGCCTATGAAGGGGGACCTTGGAGGGAGGGTTAATTCCAACATCGTTGATTACTCGTGGGTTTCCACTGGTCCTCCTCCTCCTCCTCCTCGTCCTCCTCCTCCTCCTCCTCCTCCTCCTCCTCCTTCTCCTCCTTGTGTCCGCACCTGCCCTCAGGATCGGCGTAGAGCCCTGTCCGTGCCGCTGGAAGCATCGAGTAGGGGAGCGGCGACAGGCCACACTTGATGTTCTCGTCGAGCCTACTGCGAAAAGCACGTGGGCGGACCTACGAGCGCCCTACGTGTGCATCGTGCACTCGGCGAGGAAAAACATCGGAGGTTGGGGGGTGAGATCGAAGTGGGGCGGAGAGCCCTCCTACCGGGAAATCGGTTTCGGTTTCGTGTTCGTGCGTGCCGTGCGTGCGGGCGAAACGAAACTGCGTGGGCGGGCGAGAAGAAAGTCTCCTCCGGCTGAGGCGCGGCCGGACCAAATTCCTGACTGGGGGCCGGTGGCGCGCGGTGTCCCGCTGGTGTTCCGCCTCCGGCTGAGGCGCGGCGGGACCAAATGATTCCTGACCAGGGGGCGGTGGCGCGCGGTGTCCCGCCGGTGTCCCGCCGGTGTCCCGTCGGTGTCCCGATGATGATGATGATGATGATGATGATGATGATGATGATGATGATGATGATGATGATGATGGTGATGATGATGATGATGATGATGATGCTGATGATGATGATGATGATGACGATGATGATGATGATGAAGAATGATGCTGATGCTGATGCTGATGCTGATGCTGCTGCTGATGATGATGATGATGGCGATGGCGATGATGATGATGATGATGATGATGATGATGATGATGATGATGATGATGATGATGATGATTATGATGATGGTAATGGTGGTGATGGTGATGGTGTCCCAATGATGATGATGCCGATGATGCTGATGTTGATTATGAGGATGTTGCTGGAGATCATGATGATGAAGATGATGATGATGATGATGATGATGGTGTCCCGCTGATGATGCTAATGTTGATGGCCATGATGATGATATGGTGGTGATGATGGTGATATTGTGAGATCGATCGTGAGATCGATTGTGAGGTCAATCGTGAGATCGATGGTGACATCGATAGAATGGGATCGGTCGTGAGAGATCGATAGTGCGATTTGTAGTGAGATCGATTGTGATATCGATAGTGAGATCGATAGTGAGATCGATAGTGAGATCGACGATAACGACATCGCCTGTGAGAGCGATAGAGAGATCGATCGTGATATCGATCGAGTGGAATCGATAGTGAGATCGACAGTGAGATCGATCGAGTGAGATCGATCGTGTGATCGATCGGGGGAGATCGATTGTGAAATCGATGGTGGGGTCCATTGTGAGATCGATTGAGTGGGACGTTGGGTCCGCCCACCCGTCAACTCTCTTACCATTCAAGGATTTCGGCTCAAGGCTTCTCCCAAGAGCGAGCGGCAACGCAACCATCTCCATTGTTGCCCATTGCTGGGCACCTCCCCCACCCCAGCCTCCTCATCACCCGCAGGGTGGTCGTATAGGTAACTTGGGGGGTTAGACCAATTCTGCGATCGATGCTTGCCCATTGCTGGGCCCCTCCCCTCCCCCCAACCTCCTCATCACCCGCAGGTAGGTCGTGTGGGTAGCTTTGGGGGCTCGACCAATGCTGCGATCGCTGCCCTCTTCGAAGGAGCAGCCCCCCGTGCCCCGCACCGGTGCGGGAGTGCAGCGGCCCCTGGAGGCGCACGCGGCGCGGCCGCGGAGGCACGAACGAAGACTCCACGCCGCCAGCCGCCTCCCTCGAGAGCCCGCCCGGCCTGCGGCCGCTCGCCTCGAGCAGCGCTCGAGCGACGGCGGGGCGCCGCCGAGGCGGATCGTGCCGCGGGGAGGCCCACGGGCGCGTCGAGAGAGGGAGGAGGGCGCGGGGGCAGGGGGCGCCACGCACCGAACCTGCAGCCCCCGCGCGTGAGCGCCGGAGGGCGCTAGCGGCGCGGGGGCGGAAGTCCTCGAGGGAGCCGCGGGAGACGAGGTCGGAAGACCGCGAAGCCCAAGGCCGGCGACTCCCAAGGGTGTGGCCTGCAAAGGGTGTGGTTTGCAACCGGCACCCGGGGGGGCACCCTGGGGGGCGGGCGGGGACCTCGATAGAGTTCTCCGCCGCGCCCAAAAGAGGCCCGCCGAGGACAGCGCCGTACCCCCCAGGCCCCAACGGCCACGACCGCAAACCACACCCCGGCGTTACCACACCCTCTGTAGTCGAGGGAAGGAACACAAAGACGAAGCCAGGACGAGGATGACATCGGGCGAGGATAAATCGAGAACCTCTGAGATCTGGCGGCTCTGGAGGATGCCTCGGGCGCCGCGGCCTTCTCAGAGCGTCCTGGAGCGCTCGGGAGCGCTCTGTAACGGACCTATCCTCCTCCTCCTCCTCCTCCTCCTCCTCCTCCTCCTCCTCCTCCTCCTCCTCCTCCTCCTCCTCCTCCTCCTCCTCCTCCAGCCCTCGTCCTAGCCCCGTCCGATAACCACGAAAGGACAGCCTTTGAGCAGGGGCCAACCGTCCCTGGCATTCCGATAGGCCTACCACGGCATGTTCTCAGAGCCCAAACATGCTGTAATAATCAAAACAGTGCTCTTGGAACCAGGGCTGGACCTAAACGCTGTTTTTCGTTATGTGTCGTTTTGTGTTTCGTGTTGCGTTATCTGTTTTCCCACACCTCCCTTCCAACACAAAAAAACCAAACACAGCCCAAGTCCAGCAAAAGAGCGTTTAGGTCCAGCCCTGCTTAGAACATACACCCGATGTGCTGAAACAAGACGGTCCCAGCCAGGCATGTTCTGAGAACGTGCCGCGCAGACCACAAAAGGTTCCTGGAACATGCTGTTGGTGGGCCTACAGGCGAGCCGGGGCGCTTGGCCACTGCTTGAAACCAGGAGGGCACCAGACGGGGGGAGATAAGGTGTTACTGTGGCCCGTTGGTTGTTAGTGCGGCCCGGTGGGTGCTAGTATGGCCCAGGCTCCTCCGGAGGGTATGAATCAACCAGTACGGTGAAGGTGGAGGGGGGGAGTCTTGAGAGAGCCTCCTCCCCCCCCTTCACCGAAGAGCCTCTCGGAAGAGCCTCTTGGGGCCGCCGACAAGCCTCTTGGAGCCGCCGAAGAGCCTCTTGGGCTCCTCTCAGAGGGCGGCCGGGCCGGCCTCTCGGGGGGGGGGGGAGGTTCGGGGAGAAAAGGGAGGAGGAGGGGAGGGGAGGAGGAGGGAGGGAGGGGGAGGAGAGGAGGGGAGAGGAGAGGAGGGGGGAGGAGAGGAGGGGCGAGGAGAGGAAGGAGGGAGGAGGAGGGGGGAGAGGAGGGAGGCGAGGGAGGCGGGGAGGAGGGGAGGGAAGGAGGAGAGGAGGGGGGGCGGCGAGCGCGTGCACGGCGGGTGGGCCCCTACCTGGCCCAGCTCGGCGCCGAGGCCCGCGGGGGCCGCACGCTGCGCGCGGCGCCGCCCGCACGCGTCGCGCCCGGGCCCCGCCCGGCGTGCTGTCGGGCGGCCAGGCCAGCCTCTGGCCAGGGGGGGAGGGGGGGGGGCGGGTCGGGGAGGGGAGGGGGGAGGAGGGGAGGGGGGAGGAGGCAAGCTAGGTGCGCTCGCGTCATATCTGACATCCTACCCCTCCCTCCCATCCCTTACCATGGCGCTGATTTTCTCTATCCGCGGACGCGTGTCGTAGCGGACCTGTGGCTCCGCGCGCGCGTGCGTAGTGGGTGGTGGTGCACGTGCGTGCGTGCGTGCGTGTGTGCGTGCGTGGTGGTGGTGGTGGTGGTGGTGGTGGTGGTGGTGGTGGTGGTGGTGGTGGTGGTGGTGGTGGTGGTGGTGGTGGTGGTGGTGGTGGTGGTGGTGGTGGTGGTGGTGGTGGTGATGGTGGTGGTGGTGGTGTGTGTGGTGGTGGTGCTGGTGCTGGTGCTGGTGGTGTTGGTACTGGTGCTGGTGCTGGTGGTGGTGGTGGTGGTGGTGGTGGTGGTGGTGGTGGTGGTGGTGGTGGTGGCGGTGCGGCGCGGTGGTGGCGGGCGGATGGGCGCGCGAGAAAAAGGCCCGCGCTGGTGCGAGAACGCCATCCTGAACGACGGAGGCCAAACACCGATCCGAAAATGAGGCCCACGCTGCGGCGGGAGCGCGATTCGGAACGATTCGGGAGCAGAAATGAGGCCGGCGCTTCAACGAGAGCAGCATTTTGGGAAAAAATGACGCCGGCGCCTCAGCGAGAGTCGTTTCCCGGGATTTCCCGGAAATCCTGTGTGTAAAAAAACAATACGCGGAAGGTGCGCGGCCATCACCTGGACGCCATCAGGGGAAGAGGGAGTATTTTCATAACATCCGCCGCTCTGCGGTTGATCGGGAGTTTCTGCATATATAAAAGAAGGGGCGCGCGCTTCTGGGCGAGAGGGAAACGACCGAGAGAAGAAGGGGCGGCCGCCCCACAGGACCTCTCCATGGTGCCGGAAGCCCATCAGGGCTCCCTCAGGGCCCCTCCCCCAGGGCCGGGGCTCCCTCGCCTGCTCCTCCTCCTCCTCCTCCTCCTCCCTCCTCCTCCTCCTCCTCCTCCTCCTCCTCCTCCTCCTCCTCCTCCTCCTCCTCCTCCTCCTTCGCCCCCGTCGGCATATCCAGGCGTGTTATGCAGTCAGGTCGTCCGTCCGGAAACGGTGCCGGAGGCCGCTCTGGGCTCCTCTGGGCATCCCCCCCGGGGCCCGTTTTGTGAGGATGTCTCAGGCGAGGGCGCCGGTTTGGGATTCGTCACCGGATCCAGCGGATCCAGCGGATCCAGCGGATCCGTCCGGAAACGGTGCCGGAGGCCGCTCTGGGCTCCTCTGGGCATCCCCCCCGGGGCCCGTTTTGTGAGGATGTCTCAGGCGAGGGCGCCGGTTTGGGATTCGTCACCGGATCCAGCGGATCCAGCGGATCCGTCCGGAACTGGTGCCGCCGTTTTGTGAGGATGTCTCAGGCGAGACCGCCGGTTTGGGATTCGTCACCGGATCCAACGGATCCAGCGAATCCGTCCGGAAACGTGCCGGAGGCCGCTCTGGGCTCCTCTGGGCATCCCCCCCGGGGCCCGTTTTGTGAGGATGTCTCAGGCGAGGGCGCCGGTTTGGGATTCGTCACCGGATCCAGCGGATCCAGCGGATCCGTCCGGAAACGGTGCCGGAGGCCGCTCTGGGCTCCTCTGGGCATCCCCCCCGGGGCCCGTTTTGTGAGGATGTCTCAGGCGAGGGCGCCGGTTTGGGATTCGTCACCGGATCCAGCGGATCCAGCGGATCCGTCCGGAAACGGTGCCGGAGGCCGCTCTGGGCTCCTCTGGGCATCCCCCCCGGGGCCCGTTTTGTGAGGATGTCTCAGGCGAGGGCGCCGGTTTGGGATTCGTCACCGGATCCAGCGGATCCAGCGGATCCGTCCGGAAACGGTGCCGGAGGCCGCTCTGGGCTCCTCTGGGCATCCCCCCCGGGGCCCGTTTTGTGAGGATGTCTCAGGCGAGGGCGCCGGTTTGGGATTCGTCACCGGATCCAGCGGATCCAGCGGATCCGTCCGGAAACGGTGCCGGAGGCCGCTCTGGGCTCCTCTGGGCATCCCCCCCGGGGCCCGTTTTGTGAGGATGTCTCAGGCGAGGGCGCCGGTTTGGGATTCGTCACCGGATCCAGCGGATCCAGCGGATCCGTCCGGAAACGGTGCCGGAGGCCGCTCTGGGCTCCTCTGGGCATCCCCCCCGGGGCCCGTTTTGTGAGGATGTCTCAGGCGAGGGCGCCGGTTTGGGATTCGTCACCGGATCCAGCGGATCCAGCGGATCCAGCGGATCCGTCCGGAAACGGTGCCGGAGGCCGCTCTGGGCTCCTCTGGGCATCCCCCCCGGGGCCCGTTTTGTGAGGATGTCTCAGGCGAGGGCGCCAGTTTGGGATTCGTCGTCGGATCCAGCGGATCCAGCGGATCCAGCGGATCCGTCCGGAAACGGTGCCGGAGGCCGCTCTGGGCTCCTCTGGGCACCCCCCCGGGGCCCGTTTTGTGAGGATGTCTCAGGCGAGGGCGCCGGTTTGGGATTCGTCACCGGATCCAGCGGATCCAGCGGATCCGTCCGGAAACGGTGCCGGAGGCCGCTCTGGGCTCCTCTGGGCATCCCCCCCGGGGCCCGTTTTGTGAGGATGTCTCAGGCGAGGGCGCCGGTTTGGGATTCGTCACCGGATCCAGCGGATCCAGCGGATCCGTCCGGAAACGGTGCCGGAGGCCGCTCTGGGCTCCTCTGGGCATCCCCCCCGGGGCCCGTTTTGTGAGGATGTCTCAGGCGAGGGCGCCGGTTTGGGATTCGTCACCGGATCCAGCGGATCCAGCGGATCCGTCCGGAAACGGTGCCGGAGGCCGCTCTGGGCTCCTCTGGGCATCCCCCCCGGGGCCCGTTTTGTGAGGATGTCTCAGGCGAGGGCGCCGGTTTGGGATTCATCGGATCCAGCGGATCCAGCGGATCCAGCGGATCCGTCCGGAAACGGTGCCGGAGGCCGCTCTGGGCTCGTGCTCTTCGCGCCGGGGGTGAGGATGACGTGAGTTCCACAGAAACTCCCTCAGATTATATTGAATAATTGTGGAGGAAGGGGAGGAGAGGAGGGGAGGGAATGAGCGGAGGGAGGAGGAGGGGAGAGAAGAGCGGAGGCGAGGACCACGGCGGCGGCGGCGGCGGCCACGCGCGGCGGGGCGGCGGCGGGGCTGGGCCGCCCGCGGCGCTCGAGGGGGGGGAGCCGCGGAGGGCCCAGGTTCCAAACCCCTCGCGTCGCGCCAAAAGTGACGGCGGGAGGTCGCGGCACCCGCTTAGGCCTCCGGGGGGGGCCCTCGCGGGGCCCCTCGCCGTGGGCGCCTGGCGGGCGCCGCGGGCGCTGGGCGGGTGGTGGCGAAGTCTCGCCCGGTGGGCGGCGGCCCTGGGCGCCCCGGCGGGCGCCACACTGCCTACGCCACGGAGCATGATCCACACAGCTTGCACCACGCAGCTTGCACGACCTAGCTCGCACCACATACGCTGCACCGTGGGACTTGCACCGCCTGGCGTACACCGCACAGCTGACACCACGCATCCTCCACAGGATAGCTCGCATCGCCCAGTTCACACAGCATACTTGAGAACACATGTAGCTCCTACCACCGAGTTCATACCACATACATTCTCCTTTCTAAAAAGATAATAGACTCGACCCCCCCCGGACTTATCGCTTCCCCCTGGGATAGTACGATTTCATATATATATATATATATATATATATATTATGCACACTCGTCCATCCTAAATATGAAACCGTACCATCCCAGCTAGGCCGGGTTCCCCCCCTGAGGTTCCCTTGTGAAAAAACACTATGGTGACATTTTTTGTTCTAGCATAGCGCTTTGTTCACGAATCCCTCGCAAAAAATGTGGCGAAGTGCACACGCGCGCGTCGTCGCGCGCGCATGCCGGAATCCTTCAAAAACCTTCGGTGCCGGAAGGAATTCGCAATCGAGTTTCCAAAACACATACAACAACACATGGTTTCGCAACACTGATTTGCTAAAAAAGCTTCGCGCGAGCTCTTGCGAAACCATCGGTTTTCAAGGTTTTCACATAATGCTACCAAACGGGCTTCGCGCGCGCGCATGTCGAAATCTGTCGAACGCCCTTGCGCGCGTGCCGTCGCGAGAATCCTCTGCAACAAATGGGACGAAGTGCAGACGCGCGCGTCGTCGCGGGCGTATGCCGAAAACCTTCAAAACCCTTCGGTTTCGGAAGGATTTCAAAATCGTGCGTCCAAAAAACATACAAAAACATAAGGTTTCGCAACACGGATTTTCAACAAAAGCGTGCGCGCGCGCTCTTGCGTCGTCGTCGTCGTCGTCGCCGTCCTCCCTCCTCCCGTCGTCGTCGTCGTCGTCGCCTACGTCGTCCTCTGTCTTTCCTCGTGTTCGTCGTCGTCGTCCTCTTTGGCGTCGTGGTCGTTTCCGTCGTCGTTGTCGCCGTGGTCGTCCTTCCTCCTCCTCCCGTCGTCGTCGTCGTCGTCCGTCGTCGGCGTCTCGTCGTCGTCCCTCCTATTTCGTCGCCGTCGTCGTCGTCGTCGTGTCGTCGTCGTCTTCCCTCCTCCCTCGTCGTTGTCGTCGTCGGCGTCGCCGTCCTTCCTCCTTCGTCGTCGTTCGCGTCGTCGCCGTCCTCCCTCCTCCCTCGTCGTTGTCGTCGTTGTCGTCGTTGTCGCCGTCGTCGTCCTTCCTCCTCCCTCGTCGTCGCCTTCGTTGGCGTCGTCGTCGTCGTCTTCGTCGTCGTCGGCGTCGGCGTCGTTGTCGTCGTCGAAGTCGTCGGAGACGTCGTCGGTGTCGTCCTAGTCGTTGTCGTCGGTGTCGTTGTAGTCGGTCTTAACAGGTTTTGCAAACCAAGTTGCAGGTGGGTGGGTTGGATGTTTGCGCCAGCAGTGGAGATGACGACTTCAAGTTCAGCAGAGTGGACTGCACCCATAGATCTGCACGCCTACAAACG